GATACCTACTAGAATCAGCAGCGTGATTCAATAGCGTAGAGAAAGTCAGGGGCGCGGGAACTACTTTCAGACTGGGGGAGCACACCATAATAGAGATCAACCTAGGGTCCCCCCAAATCTAGTTTTCTCACCGGTTTTAGGCCACTTATTTTTCATCCTTTGGCTTTTTCAACAAAAAAAAAGAAACAGTTGCAAAAAAGGACGGTATTCCGTCTGAAAGTTGTGGGGGCACCGCCCCCACTGGCGGATCCAGGGGGGCCACCGGGGCCATGGCCCCCCAAAAGCCTGAAAGAGGGGGCCAACATATCTTTTGGCCCCCAAAACGCTTGAAGAAAAATTAATGTGAGAAGGTTGTGTAGTAGATACTTACTAGAATCAGCAGCGTGATTCAATAGCGTAGAGAAACCCAGGGGCGCGGGAACTACTTTTAGACGGGGGGGAGGTCACACCATGATAGAGATCAACCTAGGATCCCCCAAATATACTTTTGTCGCCGGTTTTAGGCCACTTATTTTTCATCCCTTGGCTTTTTCAACAAAAAAAGAAAACATTTGCAAAAAGGAGCGGTATTCTGTCTGAAAGTTGTGGGGGCACCGCCCGCACGGCCCCAGAGTTGGGGGGGGGGGGGGCAAGCTGCCACCACTGCCCCCTCCCCCCGGTTCCCGCGCCTATGGAGAAACTACCGGGTTTACTAGCTTCCTTCATAAAGTGTCGTCATGTCTTATCGTCACCCGAGAAGGTCTTATTGCATAAATATCGATTGAGCTGTCAAGTTAACAAACTTGCTGTGGCAGCCTGACCTGACATGACCCGGCAACTTTTCATTCACGGAATATGCGCAATAAATTTTTTAGGAAAACTCACTGAGTTTTCGTTGAAAAAAAAAAAACTTGTTTTGTTTCGTAATTGTACAAGAAGCATATGAGGGACCTTTTTGTCCCTTCCTGCGAAACGGTAAAAGACTTATTTCGGTCACAGCTCAGGCCAATCTCTAAGGGTCAGTCGGGTCACTTATTTCTTAAAAGGGTCCTTACGGCATCCAAGGACCAATTCCGGCTTTTGAGTGCGCCACATCAGCATTTGATGCTACGGCAGATGTCGAAATCTGAATATATGTTACAGGCCGTATGAAAATTCGGTCCGTTTACAAACGGCCTGGCCCAGTCAGGCCATATGAAACTACCTGAAAACACCGGCCGCCGTTTGCAAACTATGACCTGAAATATCAGACCGTTTGAAAACGACCTAGTTAGTTTCGGCCCGAAGGTTTGGACTTTGAATTGTGAAAAACGCCCGCCCGCCGGAAAACGCAAACACCGCAAAACGCGGCGGATCCAGGGGGCCACGGGGTCATGCCCCCAAGCCTGAAAGGGGAACAACATATATTTTTTGTCCCCAAAAACACTTAAGAAAAATGAATGTGAGAAGGGCGTAGTAGGTAGAGAGAAAATACCGTATCATTAAAAATCTGTGAGCTTGATAAAAGTGTTGGTCTTGTCTTCACTCAAGAAGTTCTTATTGCACACTTTAACCATGGATGAAAGAACCTTCATCCCCTGGTTCTCCTTCATCCATGCTTTAACTCTCGATCGACGTGTGAAGTTATCGTGTAAGGTATCATGAAGCCGATCGCGACGAAACTTTAGTACCCTCATGGTGACAAAGTCTGAAAATTTCATGACCCTGACCCAAGTGAACTTTGACTTGTGGCCTATTTCTCGAGACTATCCGTGCGTTCGGAGAGCATGGAATATTCACCGTCCCCGGGAATATTCCCCGTGCCGCGTTCGGAGGCGTATCTCTCTGAACGGCTAATCTCCGGAAATATTCCGCGCGCATGGAATATTCAACGGATTCCACGTGGAATGTGCCTCTCCGAACGCACCATATGTTTGGCCATGTTGGAGGCCATGTTTGGCCGGAATAGCGATTCGGCGTATGTCGGCTCACATTATCCGCGCTTTCATAGTCTTTTCGTGGTTTAAAACGCTCAAACATGTGATATGATGTTGCTCCCACGCATTAGGGCGGATGCCAATGTCACCTTACGGTCAAGTCAGGTCATTGACCTTTGATGACCTCGGTGCGCTTTTCCGAGTTTAACATGTTTCTAGGATAGTTTCGTTTAGCTGATTTTGAATTTAGCATTTTGCAGCCATTTGAACATTTACGAAGTAGTTTTGATGCCTTCGTATCATGTTACGTAGCTGCCAGTGGTAGTGGACACCTGCTATACGGACGCCCATAAGTACCCCTACTGGTTGATCTGACCTGACCTGCCCCGACATGGTCTAAAGGCATGAAGACATTATCTATGATCCAAACTAACATGAAATTTGTGATCAGCACAAAAAAACGTATTACAGCCTTACTTTAGGAGGTTCTGACAGGTCCTGATTTTTCCGTCTTTTGGGTCTGTGACCTGACCTGGGCGGTGTTTCACGGCACGCTGCCAGCCGCTGCCAGCGCTGATGGCACTTTTGGTTTCAATGGAGACATCAACAAGCCTATACCCACAACACTACCGAAGGCTGACCTTAGCTCGCGGAATGCGCTGTCAGCGGCTGTCAGCACGACCGTGAAACACCGCCCTGGAAGGTCAACCAATGACCAAGGACCTTAAAATCGGGTATCATCGGCTTCGTCTCGTCACTCACGGGCAACACGCCTGTTTTTTTTTTCCGCGAGCTCTAGCTTAATCAGGGGCCGAACGGCAGGGGGTCCAACCGACACCTCCCAGCCCGCGAAGGCTGCGCCACGCACCGACCCGGAGCGGGCTAATTGGTCGACAAAAGCAATTTGAAGTGTTTTCAAAGTAATATTTAGGCTCGGGTTGGGTGGGCTACCATTTCTATATTTTTTTTTATTTTTAGTTTTAAAAAAATATCGTTTCAGGGCTGTGACGAAAAAATAAGTGGCCTAAATCCGATGAGAAAACAGGATTTGGGGGTACCCTAGGTTTGGTTACTTGCAGGAGTTGGCCCCCCCCCCCCCAAAAAACGCAAGTCTGGATCCGCCAGTGGCTGAAGGTACCGTTTGCACACGTTATAACGGTTTGTTACGAATGCTTTTAACCCGCGCCATGTAGGGGGGGGTGCATTTTCACGCCAACCAAAGCTGAAGGTACCGTTTGCACATGTTATAACGATTTGTTACGAATGCTATTACCCCGCACCGTGTTGGGGGAACTTTTGATAGAGACGTGCTAGAGCGGTGAAAGCACGTCAGATGTGTTCAGCTCGACGATACGGATCGACTGATATGCAGCATGACCCTTTCCGGTCAGGTCATGACCTTGACCTACGGTCAAATTTTCAAAATGACCTTTCAAGGTCAACTAATAGTTCATTCGACGCCTCTCAACGAGAGGAACACGATGCTGGCAAAATCAATGTCGCGGCTCTCTTGAGTTATAAGTTTGCTAAAAAAAAATCCGTGAAAACTGCTTTTTTAGACTGTTTGCCCTCTGGAGGCTAAACCGTTGACCCAAGGTCGAAAAGGTCTGTAAAGGGGTATCGATTGCGCTTTTCTGCGACGCTGTAGCTCTACCTATTGGTTACCGAGTTAGCCGTCGGGTGTTTCGAAAATTGTTGAAATAGACGAGATTTGACCTTCGATGATCTCTGGTGACCTGACCTTTGACCTGACCTTGAAAATGACGGAAGAATATATGCATTATTTTTTTTACGCTTTTTCCGATTGCCGCCTACTGCGTGTCGCTTCGTGGCCCAGGAGCCGAGTTAGATGGGGGGGGGGGGGGGTGAAAACGCCCCCCTCCCCAGCACGACACGGAAAGCTCAGGTCATCAGCACGGCGCGGGTCAATCATTTTGCTGGGGTAAGGTTCAACAGAATGCTGAGCTTTAAACTTCGTGATATAGGTATCCCGTGGCTGAAAATGAACATAATGGTTCAATGGCTCCTTCTTGACAAATGTATGTAAAAGTTCGGTATTAGGTATGACCTAGGTACTCGAAAGATAACGTTTAACTACCAGTATATGCATATGTACGGTCGGTGACGAGACATGTAATTTTTTATTATCTAGTCGTCCCCAAGAGATATGTAAATAAAATACTTTCTCTTCGGTGATTAGGTACAACGAAATTTTTATGTTATACCTTTGTCTTCCGAAGTTTCATACCACATTCTACGTATCATTAGTCAGGAAAATATTCATTACGTGTTGATATTTTGGAAGGGTTAGGTATTTGCAAAATTATCATTTTAGATTGTGAGCACCATACATAGGTGAGCACTGAGCCAGATGCAGTGTGTTACGGCGTGACTTCACCCAGTAGCGGATCCAGGGGGGGGGGGCAAAATGGGCATTTGCCCCTCCCAAACGGCATAATTCTAACATTACGCCTATGGACGAGGCATGGAAAGAATCGATAAATTGTTATGGTTTGCCCCCCCCCCCAAAAAAAAAACTCTGAGCTGGATCCGCCACTGACTTCACCACTTTGCTTAGGAGGATTCTTTGCAGAGAGCCCAGCTGAATTGATTCTTGTATGCCGTACAAAACTTCGTTTTAAGCACATACTTTAATATGATTTATGGCAAACAAGAACGAAGTTTTTGCACTCGCTAACAACGAATGGTTTATCTTGACAATTCTGGCAAGCTGCTAAGACAAGCTAATCAATTTGAACACGCCCAAGGCTTCAAACGAGTGACTAGTGAGAAGTGTCTACCTTTGTGCAAACTGAAGCGGAGTACCTACTGAACAGCAACTGTCACGGTTGTCAGTCTCCCTACTCTGTAATTACCTCCAAACCTCTTTCCTCACGCTGATTCCCCGCCCCGACCCCCTGCCCGTCTCAGAGCTCATCTGTTGCTGGCCACACCTGATCCGGTCAGGGTCACGCCATCCCCTTCTCCCCCCCCCCCCCGCGCACAGTTGGCCGGCCGAGTGGCCGCGCGGCGGCCCGGTGCGGGGCCACAAACAATCGATATAGCCCGCGGCGACCGGGGTCGGTCGGCGGGTCTGAGGCGCCCAGTGGCGTCTGAGGCGCGGCCGGCGGCGGTGTGACGAGACGGGCCGCCGCTGCCACCTCACGTGTGACGTCCGGTGACGGCCTGTGACGTTCGGGTGACGCCGAGTGACGCTGGGTATCCGTGACGGCGTGTGGCGCGGGCCGGAAGACGGTCGCGACTCCGGTCTCGGAGGCCGCCGGAGTGGGGGTATCGGTTTCCTGTCTGAGGAGTGATAGCGGTAGAGAGACTGGACCGCTGCAGGGCCCTCGGGCTCCAGTGGGGTACTGTGTCAGTTGGGCGGCGCGCACCTAGTGGAGGCGGACTGTGGAGAGTGACGTGGGCGGTGGGAACTGTGGAGTGTGACTGTGGAGCGGCGGGGAGCGACTGCAGCGCGGTGGTGAATTAGGCCTGGGACAGAAGTGACTTGGGGAGACAGGAAGCGTAGACAAGAGAGACGGCTATGATACGACAATAGACGGCGCTGATAGCTGCGTCAGCAACCAGGGTAAGAACTCCGGCCAATGCCTTTTTGCTCTGTCCGCGTCTCAAAGTTAGGGCTTGCTTTTGTTTATTTCATTTTTCAGAGAGTCACTTACCTTATTTAGACGATAAGCGATGTACTATTCTGATTTTCGCTCCGCTTTAGTGTGCACTAACAGAAAAAATGAAACATTACAAGAAAAAGGTGAACTTTGTGACAGCAAAAGATATTGGTAATGAGAACACTGCAGCTCAGTGAATCACCTATATGACCCCAAAGTTACGTCTCATTTTTCTCGGTACTCTCCCATACATCACCTCCTAGAGCGGATTGAAAATATTGCTTCCCTCATAAATCTCGAATGAAGGACAGCCCGTTGCCTTATCACGGGCTCTCAAGACCAAGGTGGCGGCCGGTTCCCGGTACACGTCAGTCACTGTCATCAACATCTGGCGTCATCCTCCATCATCCGCCGTCAGACATCACATGTCATCATTCACTCGACATGGGCGGTATAGGTATATCAGCCAGCACCTGACTTCACACAGCATCATCCACCGTACCGTCACCTATAACGTCATCTGCCATCACCCGCCATCACCCGAAGTCATACGACATCACCTAGGTCGCAGGATATCACTTGAGGTCACACTTCATCACCGGATGTCACACGACATCATCGGCCCTCACCGGACGTCACGCTGGGTGCTTTGACTTCCCGACGTCTCTTGAAAGTTTACTCCGCGATATAAATTAGGTACGAGCTGGCGAGAAACATAACCATTAGTCAGCTAGCTATATGAAGTAAATAACACTGAGAGTTGCGGCTTTTAGACCGGGTCTGAGGGCACACAAAGCATGCAGAGATTGCTCGGTTTGCTGACGTGTCCTGATGCTGTCCGTTATTGGTTTACTATTGGCTAGTTCTGTATACCGACGACTGTTGATTGGCGAGGGTAAACACTAATTGAGCGCGATACAGACGCGCGGTATATTGGCCTCGAGTGCCAATAGTGCCATACCACTGTCGATACCAGTTGTGTCTGACCAGGATGGCCTCCTGCCGGACAGAGTAGCTCGCTCGAGCCCGTCCGTTTGATGAATGAGGGGGGACTATGAGTGGCCGCTGGGTCACTGAGGACCGTGGGGCGCGGGCGGCCGATGGATATGATTCAAAGGTCATCTGGCCGACCCGCTGGTCTAGGAGGTGATCAATATTCCATGCTGGCGGTGTGGTAATGGATAGTATTGGCTCTGACAGTTGGGTGTCCGCGGAAATGAGCCTCTGCTGTGCCGCATAGCAATGGCGGCACGGTTTTGTATCACATCCGGACGACTGAAATGGTGCTCGACAGGCGCCGCCGTCCCGCTTCCGCCGGCGGAGCTGGCCGTGAGTGCACCACCCCTATCTGTATGCTTGTGCCGTGCGGATGGATTTCAGTGCTGTCTGCTCAAATAGGTATCACGGGCGTCACTTTCTGAAATCTATTGGAAGGGCTCTAATGGTTAATTTCAGAATGCATGAAGGGGCAATGCTGGGCAATTGTGTTTTTTTTTTCAATAGAAAAACACAATTCTAATGAATGGTGTTTATCTATATTTCAAAGAACCTGCGGTTACCGAAGTTATTCTTTCCATGCAGCGCCATAGGGCTAATGTTAATATTTTGAACTTATTGATATCGCTGGGGCCCTCTTAAGCCTATACGAATAACGAAACAACACCCATGTCAAACAAGTCTTGCGAGTTTCTGACGACACTTACCGAAAAGTTTATCTCGTCTGACCAGTAAAGTGATATGACAATCATACACTGACTGCTCCAGTCAAAACGCCGAACGACTGGCGTTCTCGGTACAATCTTCTCCCCGTGTAAAAACCCGACGTTACAGCAAAGGTAGCATATTAGGTGCAAGACCACTGACTAGGATATTCCTGCTGAGCACGGAGAAGCCACAGCTTCCGAGCTAAAAACAGCTCCTGCGCCGAAGCCTTGGGGTAAAGACCTTGCAGCTGCCATCCGGCAGCCATCACCATTCACCGTATGGCCAGTCACTGCTATACCTGCCTGCGATATGATTTATTATTTACTTCCCTGTAAGTTCAGCGGTAGACTAATCACGATACGCGATTCCCGTCTAGCTAGATAAATTGGAATTTTGAAATATGATGACATGCTCAGGAGCCGCCGAAGAGTTTGGCGCTTAATTAGTTTCGTTCGCTTCATTAGTTCGGTAGAAAAAAAAGAATGTCTTAATCCCAATACCTACAAATCTCTGTAAGGTAATTCATATTTCAGAGAAGAGACCAAGGCGTTCTTAAAGGTACTATCCCACCTTCTAAAATGTTGTTTAAACCAGTTAAATTGTCCCCGACTTTATAGATTGGATGACCAGGAACACGGTTCTGGCATTCATTTTTCATTAAACATCTTAGGCTTCCCATATTCCAAACACAAACTTTCAAATATGTGACGTCACAGCCCAAAATTATCTCCTTCCCCAGGCCACATTACTGTCATAAAGCTGATTCTTTTTACTCTGTAGGCACCACAACAAAGTTCAGACCAAGTTTTAAGCAATTTTTCAACGAACAAACCCATTTAAATCAGAATGACTAAACGAGGTGACGTCACACTAACGGTCGCTCCATGTTGAAGATAGGGCCTTGTACAGCCCACCGCTAAAGTAATGTAGGGTTTTACCAATCTCAACGGTTGGCTTTGACTGGCGATTGTTTAATGCAGAGTGATCGAAAAGAAGATGTCAATAGGTAAAGTTGCAGCTGCAAGGGTGACGATACATAGGGGAAGCCGGGGGAAGCCCGGGCGCGGGGGAAGCCCGGCCACCCCGTTTCCGGCTAAATTATTCACAATAAAATGCTCAACTGTTTGTCCTTTCAGCGTGGCAGCTAAGGTAACGCCAGCGAAAAAGTTAAGGCTGACAAAAATTGCATATTGTTAAAGTTATGGCGCAAAAATGAGGATATCTTGCACTGTTAATGTTATACCATGCAGTACTAATATTTATACAAATGTTATGTAAGGACCGTTTAGGTGTTTGTAGTGAGGGGTGACGAGGCAGGCTGGCTTAAGTATGACATTTTTTCAAATATCGCTGTTCTAAAATAAAAATTAGCACATTGGGGTAACCCCGGGCGAGTGGCCAAGCTTACCCCCAACCGAGAGCAATGCCACTAAACCACTGTTTTCCATGAGATAATAGGTACTGAGCAGGTTTGGTTTACACCTAGATCAAAGATAAATTTCGAAAATAAACATGTTATCATAGACAAAGCCAGTCATGTCACTTAAGGTCAACTAGGGTCAAACTACGTTTTTGCAGATAACGCGACAGACAATGAAGCTAGAGCTTCAAAAATGGTGTCGTTGTGTTCTTCTTCATCAACCGAGTCGAATTATATGCAATATGATGCATTAAGGTAAAAAGAAAAATTAATTTTAAGGAATTTTTAAAACACACATTTTTTGTCAATTTTCCATCAAGATTTTCATCGACCTGTACTGTATATGTAGTAGACGCTAGCTAAAATACCAGTAGTGACATAAACTCTAAGATGTCCAGAGCTAATCAGTACCTTAATATTTCACTTTCCGTTAAAGGGAGATAATGAGCTTTCTTGTTTCTTAAATAAAAATTACTCGACATCTATACTATTTCTACTGTAGTTTCTATAAAATATGAAAATTTCCTAGCACATTTTCGTATGTGAAAAAGGTTTTTATTTTTGCAAAAAAGAAGCAGTACTTGCAGTATTGTAACACCCACCGAAATGCGTTGTCCTTCTCTATAAAAAAGTCGCAATATATGGCGCTTTTGTTTCAAACAGCGACGCTTGGGTTTTTGTTTATGTTATCGCCTTGTTGCTTTGTTGTAAGGATTCTAATTTGAATTAGAGTTAATTCGGTTTAGAATTAATTAGATTCTAATTCGGGGGTACATAGTGCCTACTCTTCTTTGTTTCCAAGTATTATTTTGCGCCACAAATGACCGGCATGCGCCAGAAACGCAGCCAAATCTTGCGATTGCGACTACGAAATTCATTATTTTGGCCTCAGAGCCTGAAGCGAAAAATACAAGCATATTTATTTCAAAAAGACTTCAGGTTTGTCGAACGGTGTTATGAGAATTTTGATAACAGTACTGCATAAGTTTTTCAGTGATGCCGCAAAAGTGTTGTATCTATCTTCTTTTATTGTGCAGTCGGCGGGACCGATTCAAAATTGAGTCGTTGCTACTAAAATAGCAGCATATGGCGACAGATGATGAACAGGAAAAATAGTTGCGTAAATTTAGACATAAACCACCCCCAAACCATGAATATCTTTTGAAGGCACTATAGACGACCATTAACTAACTAGATGTGATGAAGATCAAATGTAATGAATACGCTCATTTTACAAAATTACATGCAAGTACCAAAAAGTGATGTAAGTACTTATTCAACGGTCATTTTCAGCGCTCCCCGCTAACGTGACTTCAAGTTGAGATATTTGCGGCAAGGTACCGAATTGAGCAAAATGGTTTTAATTTACATTATAACTTGTTGTGTTTTGTCAGAAAATGGTCCTAACTCAGATTTTGTGGAAAAAGGTCATAATCTCCCTTTAATAGTTGGAAAACACAATGGTTTCATCAACTCGTTGTAAAGCGCTGGGGAGGTGGCCGGCGTTACCCCTATGCCGGGCTTACCCCAGAAAAATCAACACTTTTTTAAAACTCGATTTTCTCAACCTTATACTTATTCCACGAAACCGAATTTTTGGGAAAACACGGCCAATGAACTTAGCTAGCTAGCAGGATATCAACATTTTATACAGCACGTATGGTATGTAATAAAAATGAAAAAGAGCTTACTATGCCGGGCTTCCCCCGGCTTCCCCTATAAGCTACATTCAAAGTTTCATTGTAGTCTGGTTAATCGTTCCTAAGCTTCATAAGCAGAACATACCCAGGACTGAAACCCCACATTACTTCTGCTGTGGACTGTACAAGGCCCATTTTC